TCCAAAATTTAAATGTGATATCTTCGACTATGGTAGTATCGATTTTGGGTATTAGATGAGAAAAAATTTAATTTTAATTTTATGAGTCTCAAAACTTAAAAATTTATTGAAACGTGTAAGCATTAGAAAGAAAAATTGTTTGCTAAATAAAATAAAATCGGGCGAATATTTCGCGATTGGTGCATCAGGCTCCAGTGACGTATGGAAAAGCTTTAAACAAATTATAAATTCCTGCATGTCTGAAATAGTTCATAATTAGAAAGTTAAAGCTTGGATGCAATTTTACTTTATGTACGTTCTCAACACAGTTCTCTATTATAAAATATGAATTATAAAATTAAATAAAAAGTTCAATAAAGGTTGTTTTTACAATTAAGTCATATTTTTAGCCGGAAAAGTATTAAATATTTTGATTTATTTCATTATTAATGGCGATGTTTCAAACATATGTATTTGTTGCATTTCGCTTAACTTTTTTCCCACGTAACGCGCTTATGGCGATGCCAAAATAGTAATCGTCTGATGCTAAGATGTCGCATCGGCAGAATCGGCATCGTGTGAGCAATTACACGATTCCAAAAAAGGATCGCTGTACTCATAAAAATTACTAGTACTCGTGCTCTTACGATGCCGGAATCACTCGTGCAGGTCTCTAATATATACATATGCACCCATTTATGTACCTTACTTACATACATATAAATACATACAGTCAGTCAATAAAGTTTAGGTACAGGGAATTTTTTACAATACGGGCAACTAGTTTTTAAATATTTTATTTTTCGCTAATCCATGTATATACATAAAAATGAAATGTTTTCCGTATGACGGTGATGCCTGACCTAACGGCTGATCCGATTTCAATTCTGTAAAAAGTACTTTTTTGGACCGTCTGTGTGGAAGGTTCTTTGATTTAAAAAAATTTTAAATTTTTTGTTGTTGTCGCTGAAAAATGAAGAATGCTGAGACGTCACGATTTCACAATTTCATAGAGGTTTCTGCACATTAAATGTCACTAAACTACTAAACGGCTGGACCGATTTGGTTCATATTTGGAACATGTGTCAGCACCTTGAAGGGAAATATTCTGAAAAAAATTCCCTCGATAGGTGGCACTAGGGTCGGAATATTCCTAAAAACTGCATTTTCTTGCCGATCTGGCTCATATTTAGAATACAATTTAGCCAATTGAAAACAAGTATTTTAACTTAAAACTTACACGATAGGTGGCCCTGTGGCCGAGATACCCCCAAAAATTATTTTTCGCTAAGAGAAGGATAGATCTACTATATATTTGTGAAAGTATATATGTATGTATGTATGTATGTGCCAGGTTGTAGTCTAAACGAACGGACAGAATCGAACAAAATTTTGACAGTATTGCCATGACACCTGGGCCTATAATAGGGTGAAAAAAATTGGGATCCGACAAGGGTGCGTGGCACCTCCCATGAAATTTTTAATCAGCCATAACTTCCAGACCATAAGCCACATGAACTTGAAATTTGGTATGCAGGCATAGCTACGGCAAGTGCTTATAGTAAGCTGTATATGAATGAGTTTATAAAAGGGGGCGTGGCACATCCCGTAGGCGTGGAATTTTTTATCAGCTATAATTTGGGAACCATAAGCCCTACGAACTTGAAATTTGGTATGCAGGCACAGCTACTTTAGGCGCTTATAGTAAGGTGTATATGAATGAGTTTATAAAAGGGGGCGTGGCACATCCCGTAGGCGTGGA